GGATCAAAGAGCTGGATAAACCCCCCCCCGGTGATGCTCTTTGGCCGGGCAGCAGTTGGTGGCTGCTGTGAGCACTGAGCCCCCCAGGGGTGTTGGTTCCCCCCCCAGGGGGTTGGAACGTGTCCCTAGGGAAGAGCAGCTGAGGCAGGACGGGGAGACGGGACACGGAGCAGCCCTGGAAGGCACTTCCCAGCCATGCCAGGGCTCTCCCAGCTCCAGGTGCAGCCAGAGGGGGTTCAGACACCACCCAGCTCCCAGAAGGGACTTTGGCAGGTGCCAGTTTTCCTCAAAATGGGAATTTTCCTCAACCGGGTTTCCCAGTCCAGCAGGGAAGGCAGCTTGGTGGAGACATTCAGGATGGAAGGTGATGCAGCCTCAGCCCCTTCCTGCTCCCAGGTCCCTGAAAGGTGCAGTGAAGGGAGAAGGGGCAGATTTTTGAATCCTGTTTGCAGGAAAAATAATTGCAGGCAGGAGAAACCCCATCCCTGGAAGTGCTGAAGGCCAGGTGGGAATCTCATCCCTATCTGAGCAACCTGGGCTGGTGGGAGGTGTCCCTGCCCATGCAGGGGGGTTGGAACTAGATGATCTTGAAGGTCCCTTCCATCCCAACCCATCCCATGATTCCATCAGAAGGGAACTCTGCTCTTGCTGGTTGTTTTGCACCTGCCCTTGACCTTTCCCAAAGGGAAAGTCTTGGAGCGTGTGGAAGGGCAGGATGGGTTCGTGCTGCTTGGAAAGGAAACTCCAGGGGGTTTTTTTTCTTCCCAAAATTCTCCACGTGGGACAAAGCTTTAAGCTGGAAAAGAAGTGGCTTTGGTTTGTTTTGTATTTTTGAAGTCAGGGATGCCACAGAAATCCTGTGGGGTTTTGCCTGAAGGTTTCAAGGCATCAACAAGGGGATGGGGAAGCTGTGTGGAAAACCTGCTGGAGTCTTGGTGGAGTGGAGATAAAACCCAGGGATTTCCTGGTGTTACTGGTTGAGGGTGATTTCCCAAGGATTCCCAAAAGGCAGCAGCTGGCTCGGGGTGGGAAAAGTTTGGAGAAGAAGGGACCATTCCCAGTTAGTGCCAGCTTTTTGGGATGGGCTCTTTCCCCACAGGCGCTCTTCTCCAGGATGCTGGTCCCCATCCTGGCCTGCCACCCTGTCCCCCTTGTCCCACCTGCACAGGGACAGCCCTGTCCCCACTCACCCCTGGGCTCACCCTCACCAACTGGCACAAAACCTGCCCAGATCCTTCTTGTCCCAGCTGGCTCCTTCGGGAGGTGCTGAGGAGCCAGGAAGCTGCTTTGGGGCTGGAATTCTGGGTGGAAAGGGAGAGGAGCCAAAAGTCACGGTGGGATTTCAACACCGACCATCCAGCCTCCAGCTCAGCCTGCTGGAATGAGGGAAACTGGATTCAAATGTCCTGGGATGGTGGCAAAACAGATGCAAATTGCTGTGAATTTCAAACATTTTCCCGACCAAACATTTTTTTTGTGGCCAAAGTTTCCAATTGGAAAAATGATGTAAAAAAAATAATACGTAGGTTTATTATGGAATGAACTTAATAAATTGAAGTGGCTGGAGGAGGAGAGGAAATCCTCCAAAAATTGGGTGGAAATAAGAAATAGGAATGATGGGCAAAGAGGGACAATGTGGCCACATCCTGCATGAGCCACTGGTTAAACTGGGAATTGTGGGAAAGCTCCAACGTGTCCGTTCCCAACCAACATCTGCCCTGACTTTTCCTCCTCTGGAAGTGGGTGCGGATGCAGAGACTGGAATTGGGGCAGTGGGTGCTGAGCCTGGTGCTGAGCTCTTGGTGAGCACCATGCCCTGAATTCCCTGCTGAAATTTCTGCCTAAAATTAATTTCCAGCTAAAATTTCCAGCTGAAAATTCCCTGCGAAAATTTCCAACTAAAAAAAACAACAATTTCCAGCTAAAAATTCCCTGCTAAAGTTTCCGACTAGAAAAATCATTTCCAGCAGGAAAATGTCCCTCTCAAATCTCCCCCATGGAAAAAAAATCTTCCAAAGAACAAATCTGCTGCCACAGAAGTTTGTTGGGGTTTTCTTTTTCCCTCCATCAAAGGGTGATCGAGCCCCATCGCGATGATGCGGTTTTCGTTCCCTCTCCCCGTGCTCCAAAGGGGTTCCCATGGGAATGGGAATGGTTCCTGGCAGGTTTTGTGTGGTCAACCCCCCCCTCCCCACCACCCCCTTCGTGTCCATCTACCCAAGTGGGAACCTCCATCTTCTGGGGAGATGCTTGGATCCCACCTCAGATCCCGGCGCGGCGAAGCGGATCTTCCCTCCGTCCCTCCTTCCATCCCTCCCTTGGTCCATCTGGGAAGCGGGAGAGACGCTGTGGACCCTGGTCCTCCTCACCCACCTTGGACCCTTCCCTTGACCCTGGACATACCAGACACTCACCTGAGCTCTTTGCACGGCCTTGCTTTGGAAATTAGGCGGGATTAACGACGTCTCATTGGTCTCATTTTTTATGACGACGGTTTTCGTTTGGATTTTTCCTTCACGACAAGAACATCAACCCAACCAAAGGGGTTTTTCTCCTCCCACGGTGGGAGTTGGTGGTGAAGACCCTCCCCCAGGACTCGACACCATCTGGAGCATCGGGGGCAAAAAAAAAAAAACCCACCCAAAACCAAAAAAAAACCCCCAACCAACCCCACATTTTTGCCCATGAACTTCATGCCCCGACTCCCGAGTTCACCTTGAAGCTGAGAACCTGGGGACAAAAAAAAAAAGCAACAGCCACCAAACCAACCAACCAGACATAAAAATGGAGATGCGGGTTGAGATCTCCCAGGAAGGAAACGGGAGTGAATCCAAAGTGAATCCGGAGTGAATCCAGAAGGAATCCGGAACGAATCCGGAGCAACAGGACTCGACCATCCCCTGGGCTGGTGCCACG